CCCAGGGAGTGAGGTTGACGAGGAGGAGATTGACGTTACGGACGCTCACTTGCCGAGGATAGGAGTAGCAGTCCGGGCGTAGGAGGCAGAGCATTGGGACGACGGTTGAGTGAGCATAGCTACTGATATCAGCCGATAGTGGATAGCGGATCGATGGTAGAGCAGGTCAGTGGAGTGGAGCTTCAGATCGACGATGCTAGATGGCCTAGACCTCCAGAGACTCTAGCGCCAGGCAGGGTGGCGCTAGATCTACCGGCCAGAGGGGTTTCCGCGGATGCGATAGAGAGCCGATGGTCATCGACGGTGTTGGGCCCAGACGTACACTTGTGGACTTATATTATCGAGACGTTTGAGCTAGACAGTCAGAGGTGGCGGCGACCAGGCACGACTAGCATAGAGGTAGTGGGCCACATTTACTACTCACAGGAGGTGCTAGCCACGATTTATTTTCACGGCATCGTGCACGATCATTGGCGAGAGGAGCAGAGCGCGAGGAGGATCTTACTGGCTCGAGCGGACTCCGCACGGGGCAAGGTAGAGCGGTTGCACGGGGTTGTTCGAAGAGTGAAGACGACCTTCAGGATTGGAGGACACTTCCCATATCCTAGCAGTCGACTGCGTGTGACACTTCCGTGCTTCGTGGCAGAGGAGCTTTGGGGGCTTAGGCGTCTGGGTGAGATCTACTTTGCGGCCCTTGACTTGGACGGCCTTTGTAGAGGGTACGCTGACGGGGACTGGGTGCTGTATGCACAGTTTGTAGCGGGGCCGCTTGTAGGCGAGCGAGGGCTCCAGTTGATTGATTTCCTGCGGGCCATTGTACCTACCGGGAGCCCTGACCTGTATTCTCTGCACCAGCCCCTAGCCTTCTGGACGGCGCTAGAGAGAGAGGCTAGGAGGCCTACAGATCATTTAGCTGGAGTAGGTCATCTGTTAGCCGAGACTCGTGAGGAGAGGCCAGGCCATCTCATCTCGACCGGCGAGGTTGAGGAGTATTACCAGCAGGTATATCCAGAGGCTAACGATCTTGCGTGGAACGCTGAGAATCGGGATTGGGAGGACTTCGATGACATAGACCCTTGGGGCGACCAGGACGAGGACTGGGGAGATGTGGCGCGGGCCGAGGGACAGGAGCAGGTAGGTGGAGAGGCGCCGCAGGAGGACGGTTGGGCCATCTCCTTCAGGCCGAAGGGCAGGACGACATCCCAAGGGGGCAGAGGGTAAATGAGGATACAGATGAGGATATGCCAGATGCGTGAGACGACTAGAGGCAGGACATAACTGAGTGAGGTTTAGAGAAGGGAGTAGTGAAGAGTATGGCAGACCGGGATATACTGAGGGTGACTCTTTCCCTACGACGAGATAGGACACGTGGCTGGGAAGGAGAGGCGTTAGAGATTGTTGAGCGGCAAATCAGACTCATGACGGAACATGCCCTGGAGATACGGAGGAGCCAGAGGTACGTCGAGTTTACTATCTACTTCCATGGAGCAGACGGGAGAGCGCACAGCACCTACTCGACCATACTGGACCTGAGTGGGAGAGTTGACTGAGGAGTTAGCAACGTCGAGAGATAGGGTGCGTCGGAGGGAGTAGAGTGATGCTGATCGAGAGTCGGAAGGGAGATGAGGAGTGACTCAGTAGCCTGGTTAGCTTATGTTCTCTCATGAGAGTCTGAATCGTATAGCATGAGGAAGCTTGTGGGACCCAGAGAGATGGCGGTTGGATACGACATTCCTCTTCCCATGGTGTTAGAGGGGACAGGGCGTGTTCCGATACGATACCTGGGAACGTGGCTCGCAGAGGGACTCTTCCTTTGGACAGTGATAATGAGAGATGAACGACCCGAGAGGACTCAGGACCTAGAAGGGGTCGGACATCTAATAGCGGATAGAGCACACGATTTAGAGGTAGGATTGACGCTTGCAAGGGCAAGCAGGGCTTGGTGGAGAAGCGAGTCGTTGGCCAGAGTGATCGTTAATCAGCAACTGGCGAGACTCTCTGGAGGGAGGACGCGTTGGAGCCGCTTGGTATACGGTCCACCGCATCTGACCCTCTACCCGAGAGAGGATTGGCGATTCGGACTTCCTGTCTTCGTGTATGGAAGCGTAGAACGTTTGAGTAGAGCAGTGGACCACACACTTTACGCGCTCTGGGAGGGCTTAGCGCCCCGTTTCAGGGAAGTATACTACGCCATTTGTGTGAGGTGGGGACCGCCCGGTAGAGAGACGCTTGACGACATCATAGACGTTACTTGCTGGGTGGACTGTCTGAGGCCAGTCGATCTGATTACGTACTGCAGGAGACGGGCGGAGATCGATTACGTGGGGCTAGAGGATGTGAGGTTTCTCTTTGAGGCCGCAGCTTAGGGAATGCCGGGGAGGACGGCCACAATGATGCGTGTAGGAGAGCAACTGGTAAGTACAGGATACACGGTGACAGTACTTCTCCGAGCGTACATAGACGAGGACTTGACAGCGAGGGAGTGTCAGGGACGAGCCAGAGATTTGATCCACGAGCATAGAGCCGATGTACTGGCGAGGGTGACCTTCCAGACCACGATTTCCTATGAGGTGATGATATGGTCACAAGGTTATATGCGCGCGGAGCACTTCCACGACGAGACGGTAGCGGAGGCTAAAGCGACGGTGAGAGGATGAGTTGGAAAGAGATGAGGACTGAGTATGGAAGAGGAGAGTGAGGGAGTCGAAAGAGTGAAAGAGCGCATTAAAGAACCACTCTTGAACCAGGTAAAGGAGTTGGGGAACAAGTTAAGTGAGATCTGGTCGTGTCAGGATGAGGGCAAGTTGCGTAGGGTTGAGCTCGTAACGAGAGAGTTAGAGGTTTTGTTTAGGGAGGAGAGAGAGATTATCCAGGTGTGGAGATCAGACTTTCTGGAGAGGGTAAAAGCTAGGAGCGTATCACGCGAAGGAACTAGGGGGAGGTCTGCAGAGGGCGAGTCGACGGAGGGCAAGGTAACGCAGGGAGGTAGCGACAGGACATGAGCGGCACTGCACTGCACACGACGGATCAGTACCCATTGCATGTGGTAGGGAGACTGGACGGACCGTTGGTGTTAGTGATCGTAGAGCTCCAGCTCCATACCGGACTGTGCATAGTTGAGGAGGCGGAGTGTGTCCGCCGTGCGCTGCATGAGGCTAGGGGAACAGGACTTTGGATTGGAATAGAAGGAGGACGGATGATAAAATACGTACTCCGAGTGACACCTTTCGAAGGGCGGTCTCGGATAAGGGCATGGTACGAGACGACCAGAGAGGCTGAGAGGTTGAAGATAAACGAAGCCAGGAAAGCTGGAGAGTTAGGGAGAGTTGTAACAGACGGTGCCATACTCAGGGTGCTAGCCGCTCACGATCGGTACTGGAAGGAATCGATAAAGACTTTAGAGGCCATAGAGGATAGTGGAGATAAGGAGGACTTTGAGACATTCTATGACATATTGGAGCTGTCGGCGATGAGGCTACGAGTGGTTATAGCACTGACTTACCTCAGGTGCTAGACAAATGACCTCATAGCCGTCTGGGAGTTAAAGGAGGAGTGATAGAGATTTGAAGCTCTTGGAAGGATAGTGGAAGCTAGAAGGGTCGACGAACAACTTTGGATGGCAGTAGGAGGGGACCTTCCTCCTTTAGCACCCGATTCAGGACGGGCTAGGAGACCTAGCAAGGAGGACCGAGCTAGATGCTCGGAGGCTTTTGAGGGGTGCTGATCAGGAGACATTGGCTAGGCTTGAGACTGCAATCTGCCGCAAGGGTAGAGATCCAGTCATGGGTGTACTGCAGATCCGGAGAGGCGCGGCCTTGTTGGTCAATCCCGAAGGAGAGGTTTACCTAGGCACAAAGATTCTTGAGATTGAGGGAGAGCACGAGATCCGCAACCGGTGCGGAGTACTGGAAGTGGTAATCAGAGTAGTCGATAGCTAGGATTGGAGGCGAGCGTGAACCGTGACAAGGAAACTGGTCCGGGCTGCGGGTTCTGTCACATGTCCGGGCTGCGATAACTGTTATAGGTCTGGGCTGTAACGCCCGGCGTGAGAGCCCAACTGCATCATCCGGTTGCCTATGGAACCCGACACGATGGGGCCACAACCGACAACGGGTGAAGCGGGGGAGGAGTACAGGACATCGCCCGACCGAGCTCTAAGGGATCTGAAGGAACGAATTAGGCGGGAAGCGCCGCTGAGATGGGCTGACCAAACCAATGACGGAGAGCCCGACGTAATGGGCGAGCCGGTTGTGACAGAGTCGCAGGAGGCTCTGAAGACAGGAACCTTGAGCGGGCGGCGAGAAGCGACGAGACGACGATCCCCCGAGTATGAGCGGAGGGAGACCATGGTGGATAGGCACAGGGACGAGTGGAGAGAGAGTTCGAGGGATTCCTATTGGAGGGATAGAGACAGGGATAAAGCGCCGCCCAGGCGAGTCTTCGACCCCCAGACTGGGGAGTCACATCCGCTCCCTTACGAGAGCAAGGATCGCTATATTATTACGCACAAGGCCTCGGAGCCTCCTATTTTCAGGGGCTATGGCATTACAGAATATCAGGAGAAATGAGAACTTCACGCCAGCCGGAGTCAGTGGTCGGAGGAAGAGATTATAGAGAACTTCCTTTTTAATGTGGACCCAAGCCTTGGCAAGGAAGTTAAGGAAGCCCGACCCAAGGATGGGAAATGGACTACGTACAAAAAGAACCTCGTAGAGCTTTACAAGTTGGAGGATAACAAGTACTCCATCAAGGACCTTGAGACGATGACTTAAGATGAGGATGAAAGCGTACGGGCATTTGGGATGCGTTTCCAGAAGATCTTCGACGTGCTGATAAAGAAGGGGAAGATCTCGGAGGTCGAGCGCTGTATTATCTTCATCGGACACATGTCCAAAGGTAGACAAAAGAGTATACTTAGAGTTCTTCCGCGGGACAAGCTTTACTTCCCAGAAGTCCTAAAGCTCGCGATAAAGGCACGACTACAAGAACTTGGTGTGGAGAGGGATGAGGAGACGTGACTTCTCTCTCTACAAGGAGTATGCCACTGATAGATGTCCTGATTTCAAGGACTATCCCTGGTCGGAAAAGAATGAAGTTGTGGCCGAGGAAGTGAAGGAGATAAGGGACATGGTAAGGGGATTGACAAGACAGGTTACAGAGATTGTGACCACCACCGGAGCCACGGCATATCGAGACAAGCCCGGAGGACCCTATTCACTTCGCTGGGATCGGAGGAACACTGATTCCTGGAGGAGTGTCGAGGATAGAAATCCCCGAACGCTGACTGATTATCGTGTGAGGGAAAGGGGGAGAGACGATGAGCCATGGCGGCGCAGGGATGATGAGATAGATCGGGACCACAAGACTCGCGAGACGTATGGGCGTGCTAGGAGACTGGATGACTACTCGCGTAGCCCTCGCTATGAGCCTGACGGGGGTAGAGGTGACTCTCGAGGCCGGTGGGAGTTGGATCAGGGTCGGCGAGACGGATACAGGGGCGACAGATATGAGAGATCGGGTCGAGATGGACATAGAGACGACATATATGAGAGGTCGGATCGAGACGTATACAGGGGCGACAGATATGAGAGATCGGATCGAGATGGACATAAAGACGACATAAATGAGAGGTCGGATCGAGACGGATACAGGGGCGGCAGATATGAGAGAGAAGATCGACCCGACGATTCGCGCGGGCGATACGACCGAGGAAATCGACGTGATGATTCACGCGGGCGATACGACCGAGGAGACCGACGTGATGATTCATGCGGGCGATACGACCGAGGAGACCGACATGATGATTCACGCGGGCGATACGAACATGGAGACCGCCGCGATGATTCGCGCGGTAGGAATGGGAGAGGGGGATATGGCGCGTCGTCTGATCTGTATCCAAAGTCCCTTGGCCCTAGAGCAGCGAGGGGTTCGACCTCCAGAGGCGCAGACGACAGACCACCCACTCCCAGGAACTTTTGCGTCTACTGTAGAGGGGATGATCATATCAAGAAAGATTGTCCGGATCTCAAACGGGCAATAAATGAAGGACTTGTCGTGCTTGATGACCGCAAGTACATCAAGTGGGCAGATGATGTGGGAGACATATCGATGTTCCCCTCGATGAAGGAGAATGTCGAAGCAAGGAGAGTAAAGCCGAGTAAAGGAAAGGAGCCAGTTAGGAGTCAGAGCATCAAGATAACTTTCGAAGGAGATATGGCAACCACACCCATAAGGGTGGCAATTACCAAGTCCGCAAGAGGGTCTACATCGAAGAAGACCGACACGGATTATGTGATGGCGGAGAAGGACGGACAGCGGATCGATGGAGAGGAGGTTATTCTTTCACCACGGAAGCGAGGAGTGAAGAAGTTCTTGATGAAGAGTTCGCTGGACGAGATTGACACGGTCGAGCCACTGAGGCGGGCCCTTCGGCAGCCCATGCAGTGCTCTATTCTGAAGTACCTGGCGGCATCGAAGCCGGCTCACGATGAGTTACAGATGATCACGCGGAAGACTCGCATACCTCTATCAGAGGAGGCTCAGGGGGCCCCTAAGGCGGAAGCTCCTACAGTAGCAGTAACGGGGGTGACTGCCAGAGCAGATCGCATAGGGACAGTCCTTCTTGATGGGATGGAAGGTGTGCCTCCAGACAAGTTTTACATACTTGGTAGTGGGCTGTGGAGGCGATTATAAATGACGGAGCGGTGCTAGATGCTGTGATCGATAACGACAGCGAGACTGTCATTATAGACGAGGATCTGGCGGTGCAAGTTGGACTGGGACTCGATAGGTCATACTTATTCGAGATAGAGACGGTTGATGTGAGAAAGCAACAGATCACAGAAGTTTGTCACAAGGCAGCCATAGAGGTCCAAGGGGTACGAGTGACCCTGCCTGTCTTTGCAGTCAAGAACTGCAGCTATGACCTGCTCTTGGGACGAACGTGGTTGAGCCACGTGCATGCGGTGACGATAGAGCGACCGGATGGGAGCCAGACATTGTCCATTAAGAAGCTAGATGGGACGCGGGTTATGATTGAGACAGTGGAGCCTCGAGACCCGAGGAACAGAGCAGCTCTCGCTGTCGGTGTAAGACCCAGTGATCAGATTAAGTCATTACCTATCTCCGGCCGCGCGATGCGATTTCGCGAGAAGAAGTACGGACCACTGCTCACAGAGGAAGAAGGACGGATCGTGGAGGTGGAAGATTTAAAGAGTCGACTGATAGTGGACGGCAACTCGTATCAAAGGAGACAGATGAGGAATTTGGCGGGGTGGTATCTGTGTCTTTTTTAAGGGCACGGCCCCCTATAGGGGGCTACCCAAGCGACACAAGCGAGTAGCACAAAAAGTTAAGCCAGCGGCGGTGGGCCGCGAGCGCTCTGTACTAGAAGGGATATCGGAATAAGGGAGCGCAAAAGAAATCAAAGAAAGAAAGAAAAAAAAGCCGCAACGCCTAACGGAAGAGAGGATAGTAGGGATGGACATTGGAGATGGAAATCTGACACCACAAGAGCGGGAACGTGTGATAGAAATCTTGAAGACATGTGATAAGGCAATAGCTTTCAGCGACGCAGAGCGCGGTAGGGTTGACCCTCGATATGCTAAGCCAACAAGGATCTACACGATTCCACATGTTCCTTGGAATGACGCAGGATGGAAATACGCCCAGAAGGAGAAGGAAGAAGTTATCGCTTTCCTGAAAGAAAAGATGGTTTCCCATGTTGAGGAGCCGTCTGATAGCGCTTATGCTAATCAATGGTTCTTCCTACGAAAGCCGAATGGCAAGATCCGATGGATCTAGGACCTTCAGAAGGTCAATGCGGTGACGATACGAGACGTGGGCTCCGTGCCACACGTCGACTTACTGGCTGAAGGCGCCGCAGGCAGGTCGATTTATTCGGTCTGTGATCTGTTCTCAGGCTATGATGAGGTACCGCTTGATCCTGGGGACAGGCACCTTACGGCTATGCGCACGCCATTGGAACTAATACAGATGATGGTTGTCCCTATGGGTTGGACTAATGGGGTAGCCGTTTTTCAGAGAGCCATGGTAGCCGTCCTCAAGGACTTCATCCCTGATAAGGTTGAAGTTCTTCTGGATGACTTTCCTATAAAAGGGCCAGTAAACAAGGATGAGACAGAGGTTGTACCAGGAGTTAGAAGATTCGTCGAGCAGCACCTAACAAATATTTGCGCGGTACTCGAGCAGCTGGACGATGCCAATTTAACGGTCGGCGAAACGAAGAGCCGATGGGCCGTCTCGACCATTAAGATCTTGGGTCTTATCTGTGACTCGAGAGGACGCCAAGCAGATCCGACGAAGTTAGACAAACTCCTGAACTGGCCGTCACCGTTACATGGTCCGACCGAGGTCCGGCACTTTCTGGGAGTGGTAGGTTACTGGCGGATATTCATACGGGGGTATGCGGAGAAGGCTGAGCCATTGAGGTTACTCCTTCGAAAGACTGAAAAATTTTACTGGGATTCCTCGCAGGAACTCGCTATGCAAGAGCTTAAAGACGAATTTAAGGAGGGAGGACGCGTACAGGGCGTGCCATTCTTTGACAATGAGACCGAGAGACCCTTCATAGTATCCACGGATGCTGGACCTTGTTCAGTTGGAGGGCTGCTGTCTCAGAAAGATGCTGAAGGGAAGGAAAGGCCGTTAAGATTTGAGAGTATGACACTTAATACGGCAGAGCGAAACTACAGTCAATTCAAAAAGGAAGTGTTAGCTGTTCTGCGGTGTCTAGACACGTTCAGACATTATATCTACAGACGACGATTCATCTTGAGAGTAGATCCCACAGCAGTTGCCTCGGTCCTTTAGAAGGACTTTAGTCTGACGGACCCGACCATCGCTCGATGGTTGATACGGATTCGGCTATATGATTACGCAGTCGAGAGGATATCTGACACTAAAAATGTCGTGGCAGATGAGCTTTCGCGGATCCCTCTTCAGACCGAGCGCCTGATAGTAGCTGAAGCCCTGACATTGGCATAGCCGAGACGCGCTGAACGATTTCTGGTTAATCTTTACGAGGGCAAGTACCGAACGATCGGGCTACACCTGACAGGAGAGGAGAGTCAAGATTTAGATATCCGGAGACAAGCAGCCCAGTACTGCCTTAGAGCGGGCCACCTTTTTCGAAGGCCAGTAGGGTCGGGGATGCCCTTACGAGTAGTCTGTGATCCTGAGGAGAGACAGACGATAGTAGCGGAGCTTCACGACGGGGTGGTCGGAGGACATAGAGGAGTCAAAGAAACCTACAAAAAGGTACGCAGGTTGTACTGGTGAGAAGGACAGTATAAGGATGTCGAAAGGTACTGTATGACCTGCGAGGAGTGCCAGAAGAGAGCTCTTGTGAAATACAAAGAGTCACTTCATTCATCCTATCCAACCAAACCAGGGGAGAAGGTACACATCGATCTGGTGAAGATGCCGAAAGGGGTAGGCAATATGAACTATGTCGTGAACATACGAGACGACTTCACGGGGTTCATGGACGGTAGACCTATCAGGAGTAAGACGGCAAAGGAAGTGAAGAACTTCGTACTAGAGTACTTATCTAGGTATGGTTGTGTCAACAAGATAGTGATGGAAAGAGGGGCGGAATTCCTAGCTGACGAGGTTCAGAGTGTGTTCAAGAGAGCTGGGGCGAGAGTTTCAATAGTCACTGCCTACCACCCACAATCGAACTCTCCAGTAGAAAGGGGGCATCAGACTCTGATAGCGTCACTATCCAAGTGGTGCAAAGGTAAGGACAGTGATTGGCCGCGATATTTTCGATACGCGATATGGGCGGACAACGTCACGGTCCGGGCTAGCACTGGATACCCATTATACACCTTGTGGTTTGGGCGGCATTGCCCGCTCCCCATAGAGTTTCACGTCGACAGTTGGACAACCGTTGACTTGGCGGAGAAGATGTCCAGAGAGGAACTCCTCGCTGCCCGAACAAGACAGATAACCTACGGTTTGGAAGACAACCTTATGACAGCGGCAGATCGTCTAGCAATGGAGAGGGACAAAGGTAAAGAGAGATGGAATAAGAGCGTGCGGATCAGGAAAGAGAGGGTGAGCGTAGGAGATATGGTCCTTCTCTACGACGCAGCACTGGAAAGGACCTGGACAGGAAAACTCGCCAATAGATGGATGGGACCCTACAGAGTGGTTGAGGCGCTCGACTGGGGGGGCTATATGATAGCAGAATTAGACGGACCCAAGTGGAAGGACCCAGTGGCGGGTGCTAGGTTAAAGCTGTTTAGACCCAGGCCCGCACCCACCTTATCGCTGACAAGCCCAAAAGGGAAAGGAAAAGCCAGAATGGAGGATGGAGCCCCCTTGAGGCCATTCGACGCAGGGGAGAGTTCCAAGAAGAGGAAAAAAATAGAGAAAAGAAAGGTCAGAGGGTTAGCTTTAGGAAGAGAGAAGAAATTATTATTCGTGCTCAAGAGGACTAGACGGAGAGTTCGCGTTAGACGTACTGGCGGGTCGGCACCCTTCTCGGGGCAAAGACAGAAGAAAAGGAGGATCGTGCTGAAGCAAAAAACCGGAAGAAAAAGGAAAGTCAAGAAGCATCTTCTTAGCTCCTGGACTCATAACAAACTGAAACATAAGACAATTGAATGCCGACGTGGGCGTCCTTTACGGGCCATCACCCTGACGCTCGTCCGCTTCGTCTGATGTAAGTGGTTAGGGCTCGACGGGGGCGTCGAGAAGTGGTCCGGGCTAACTGTCAGGCGGCCACAAGCAGTGCACCGCCTGAAATCTGCAGCTTTGGGACTTAGACTCATAGGCAAGTACGTGTTTTGACGGTACTCTGGTTCGACCGGGCAGCAAAAATTAGGGGACCTTTGGGCACCCTTGACTTTGGGCACATTGAATCTTACGAGTAGCCCTCAAAGATAGGGAGATGGGTGGGCGCACTCGGCGTATCTAGAGACCGTCATTTCGCGCTGTTCAGAGGGCTGGAGCCGGAGTGGCCTGCCGCGGGGAGGCATCGCGGGAGCTGACCTTGCCGCAACGTCTTTGCAGCATACGACCGGGGCCGAAATGAGGCCTCAAATTTTTGACTATTTTGGTACCATAATTAAAGATGGGAAAAAGGGGTTAAGACCAGTAGGGGAGAAGGGAAAAACATAATATCCCTTAATTTTTTTATTTTACACGGCATTTAAAACTAGGGGGACTACCCTTGTATTTTATGACCCCGACAATGAATGTAAAAACATAGAAAAAAAATAAAAAAAAAAGAAAAAGAGAGAAGAAACAAAAGAAATTTGACCATTAATTCAAACTTTCTCGGAATTTAATTTTGAAAAATTTATGGTTGATTTACTATTTCCGACAATAGAATTAAGAAAAAGAAAGGATGATTACAAACAATGAAAGGGACAGGAACCGATGACAATTGGGAGATGGGCCTAATTTCGCCTTGATTACCCGCCATCAGCTCAGATCCCGGAATGATCATTTTCTCTGGATTCTAACAGTTTTCGCTACTGCCGATGGTCGAGATTCCCTGCGTCACTTTTCCTGTTTTGCTTGATTACTAACATTACCGCAGATGGGAGATTCTGAGAGCGAGGGTCGACAATGGTTTTTGGCTCGGTACGGATACATGGTACGTGGAGGTTCGGTATTGTTACAGAATGGCTACGTCCTACGGTATCCGACATGCATCTGGTTCGGTATGGGGCCTGCGTCAGTGTGTTTCGGGCGTAAGGCCACCACGGCAACTCGTTCTTAGGGACGGGACCACGACAGCTATCTATTTCCAGGTTCGGAACCCTGGCGGCAGTTTACTTCCGATACTACAGCGGGATATTTCAGCGGGACTAGTCTATTTCAGGTTCGGGAAGACTACGCTGATAAGTCTTCAGGTCCGGATCTACCACGGCGATTTATTCCAGGTTTGGCTTCACCGCGAAGGCAATTTATTTCAGGTTTGGGGACACTATAAGGACTTATTTCCGGGCCCGCGGCGGCCACTTCGATAATTTATTCCAGCTTCGGCATGACTACGAGAGATGACTCCAGGATCAGGCTTGATTTGGCATCGGCGGTCATAGAGACTCCAACCAACATTTGGGCAACACAAGGTACGGCAGGCTCAGATGACTCGACTCAGGTTTGAGAATTTAGTACGGGCTGTTGTAGCGCAGAGACACCGAATTCCGGCCCGCGATGACATTGGCACCTACAACACCTGAAGACGGGCTCGGTGGCTCGGAGTTGGCGCGTGGTAGGCTTATTGGGGCAGCACAATTCTGATCGAGGCTCGATTTCCCTATTGGCAGCCCATTACCGTAGCGGTTGTACAGACCAGGAAGCCGTGGCC